GTAGGAATGACTCCGTTTAAAGCCCCGTGTGAAAACGTCCAATGTTAGCATGAGCCATGCTAACTCCAGGTTTTGTAGGCTACTTTGTACTGCTTCAGATCTTTATTTATGTAGGAATATGATTCTCTTTTTATTGCTCATTGTTTGCCTGGGAAGTCTCTTCATTTTAAATGCTATAACCCTGTAAATAACTCAGAGCCTGACCTTTTAATGGCTAACCTGTGGTGTGTCATTTTCCCTCCAGATGTAAATAAGAACTGAAATGTACTTATGTATACCAGTAGTTAACTTTATTCATTTATTGACAACTCACATATGCAAAGAATTTATTCTACCAGAGATACAGGCTGGCTCTTAGATGAAGCTGGCTGAAAACACCATGTTGAGGATCTCTTGGAAGCACAAGCTGATGCTCCAGGGCTAGGTTAATGGGCCTGCAGGGGTTCTACAGCTATTATCTTCCTGCTGAGTATTGCTAGAGACAGTGCAATTAGATGCTGAGGGAGAAAGATAAGGAGGAGAATTCATAAGTATGAGCTGAGTATCCAAAATCCATCAGTTTCTGAGCTATGTACCTGTACTTTATTTGTGAGGCTGGAGAGAGATGTGGCTAGAAAGAGACACAATGATCTGTGAAATGGTGAGAGGTAAGTGCCATGCGCTATGCTTGGATTCCTGCAGGTTCACAGATCCTCAATGTCTCTGCAGCCTCATTATGTCTCATTATTTAAATGTAAATACAGGTATTTCAAAGTCCCCCCTCCCACCAAAAAAAAAAAAAAAAATCCAAAATGAGGACACACCTCTGGTTTGAAGCATTGCAGATAAAGGAGATTTAACCTGTACTTATATTACATGATTTGCTGCTGTTATGTGCCTTCATGTCATTTCTAATTTATGGAGACCCTAAAGCGGTAAATCTATCATGAGGTTTTCTTGGCAAGTTTCTTTAGAGGGGGTTTGCCATTGCCATCCTCAGGAGCTGAGAGAGTATGGGGCGAAACAGACAAGGAAAATAAGCTGTTTTCCAGCCACTTTCAAGGTGGGGTGTTTAGATTATGAATGCCTCAAAACTGGCCGGAAACCACACCGAAGCCACACTCCAGGGCTAAAAGCCATACTAAAAGGAGCTGAATTTTTCTGCTCTTTCCCGGAAAGTGTGCACCTTTACACAGATGTCTAAGTGCCCAACACCAGATGGGTTATAAAGGAGCACTCTGTCCTAATTGTACATATAAATTCCCCATCACAAAAGCACATTAAGAAAGGACACAGCTGCCATACCCAAGCAGTGGGGGTGACAATGCCCACAAGTGAAAGTGTGACACCTCTCATGGAGATAAGTATAACATACACAAACCAGACAGTCCAAAAGGGGGCATGGGGTGAAGGAGGCATAAAGGGGTGCATGATTGGATGCTCCAATGCCCTGTACCAGTGAAGGGTTGCAGATGCAACTGTGTGGTCAATCAAAAATGGTCAGCCATCCAATAGGATGGCATCTAGAGAGGAGGCAGTTGCTGGTGGTGGTGTGTTTGTGTGATGGTGCACAGGGTTGGTGAGGAGATGATAAAAACATATTTCCCAGTAGTACTGATTTCAGTGTAGTTTTGGAAAAAGCAGCATCAACCCACTTTTCCCAGCCCTTTTGTTTCACCCCTATGACTTGGTCACCCAGTTTCCACGGCCAAGCTGGGATTCAAACCCTGGTCTCCAAACTACTATGCCATGATGGCTTTCTATATCATATGATACTTCCCATCTACTCAGAACAACACATTATAAAGGAGATTATTGTTGTCCCACTGTAACCATTATGATACTATTTATTGTTACTGGGATGGTGGCTGTCTTGAAAGATAGCTCTAAGAACTTGCTTTCTGAAATACCAAGAATAAACCCAGAAACTGTTAATTTATATTTTACCAAATCTAGTTCCTAGACAATTTCCATACAGATCATGGATCTATTGTAGTGGTGCCATTGCTGAAAGCACCATCTATTTGGATGTTTTGTCACTGTAAGCCTTAGCATTTCTGTTCATTGTAAAATAAATAAATATGTGTTATTACAGTGTCCTGACCCAAATCAGAGCAGCAGCCAAGATTATATCACAGGGGTAAGGAAGATCAATGGTGCAAGCTGTGGATGACCTGAAGGTTTCAACACTGATCTTGCTTCCGTCACACAAAACCAAAGAGAAAGAGAGAAAGGGGGGGG